TTGTTGTAAAAATTTAATAATAATAATTGGTAATTTTTCCAATTGACAAGAAATTAGAAATTTAAAAGAAATTAAAAAAATTAAAAAAGAAATTTAAATTAAAAAGACAATATTTGTGTAACATTGTTGCAAACAAAAATAGCTCATTTTAATTTAAGAATTTATAAATGTTAAATGTGCTAAATGTTGTTTACCACAAATTTTATCACTCTTTTCAGATTTAAAAATGTTTTTTTTTCTTTTTCAGCATGCAACAAGGCAAAATGTATTTATACATTGGTATTTTAATGACAATAGTTCAAGGTAAATAGTAGTAAAATTACATTTTAGTAATAACTTGTAGTAATAATTTAAATTTGATAAAGAATGTAATATATTTAAATAGAATGAAGAATAAATAGATCAAATTTATTTTTATTGAATTATTTTCGTTTCATTTCTTTTCTTAAAATTTTTGTGATCAAATTATTAATCAAATTAAAAAAAAAATTTGAAGGTAATTTTCAAATTATTGATTTACTCTTAGTAATTTTTTAAATTACAAATTTCCATTTTAATCGTTAAAAAGTTTAAATATTTTAAATTTGCTGATGAAAATTTATTTAGGAGGAATTCGTCGAATTCCAAATACTAAGCATCACATAACAGCTATTTATGGTATTGCATTTACTATTCCAGCATATATTATCATTGGATGTAGTAGCAGCGCAAAAGGTTTTTATATTGGTTTAGCGCTTTATGCAATAGGTAAGGTGGCTTTCTGCGACAAATGCGCCAAAAAACAAAAAATGATTCACTTTAACATTTTTCATATAAGAATTATTTGCTAAAGTTTCTTACCAAGAATTTTCATCTTTCTTATCTTCTTTACTTAATGAAAATGTTTACTTTTTCACCTGTAATTATTCATTCTTATGTAAATTATATAATAAGTAAATGAACGATTGATGTTACTCATCCATTTTTTATTTCTTTTTTTGTAAAGAAATTGCTAAAAATATAGAAATTATTATGCGGAATTGAATGGCTAACTAAAAATATAGAAATTATTATGCGGAATTGAATGGCTAACTAAAAATATAGAAATTATTATGCGGAATTGAATGGCTAACTAAAAATATAAAAATTATTATGCGGAATTGAATGGCTAACTAAAAATATAAAAATTATTATGCGGAATTGAATGGCTAACTAAAAATATAGAAATTATTATGCGGAATTGAATGGCTAACTAAAAATATAGAAATTATTATGCGGAATTGAATGGCTAACTAAAAATATAGAAATTATTATGCGGAATTGAATGGCTAACTAAAAATATAAAAATTATTATGCGGAATTGAATGGCTAACTAAAAATATAAAAATTATTATGCGGAATTGAATGGCTAACTAAAAATATAAAAATTATTATGCGGAATTGAATGGCTAACTAAAAATATAGAAATTATTATGCGGAATTGAATGGCTAACTAAAAATATAAAAATTATTATGCGGAATTGATGGCTAACTAAAAATATTGAATGGCTAACTAAAAATATAGAAATTATTATGCGGAATTGAATGGCTAACTAAAAATATAGAAATTATTATGCGGAATTGAATGGCTAACTAAAAATATAGAAATTATTATGCGGAATTGAATGGCTAACTAAAAATATAGAAATTATTATGCGGAATTGAATGGCTAACTAAAAATATAGAAATTATTATGCGGAATTGAATGGCTGAATGGCTAACTAAAAATATAAAAATTATTATGCGGAATTGAATGGCTAACTAAAAATATAAAAATTATTATGCGGAATTGAATGGCTAACTAAAAATATAGAAATTATTATGCGGAATTGAATGGCTAACTAAAAACATAGAAATTATTATGCGGAATTGAATGGCTAACTAAAAATATAGAAATTATTATGCGGAATTGAATGGCTAACTAAAAATATAAAAATTATTATGCGGAATTGAATGGCTAACTAAAAATATAAAAATTATTATGCGGAATTGAATGGCTAACTAAAAATATAGAAATTATTATGCGGAATTGAATGGCTAACTAAAAGTGTGACAACATTTCAGCATCAAGTTTAGTAGTTCCATGCATGACCTCTTGCATATCAAATGAAGCGACGGATGATGTCAAAGGTGTCACAATTGGTGTTTTTCGGTGCTTAGGTGCATTAGCTCGAGCTATTGGTCCACTTTTTGCATCCACAGGTTGACACATTCAAATTAAATAATTTCATTTTATTTTGTGCAAAAAAAAAAAAGAAAACTCTTCTTTAATTTAAAAATTTTTTAAAATCATCTCTTATTGAATTAAATTTTTTTTATTTAAATTTATTTAATTTCAGTATTTTGGCTTTTTGGACCAACAATATGCTATGTCATTGGAGGTGTACTATTATTTATACCTTTATTTATGCTAAGACAGCTTTCATTAGGAATAAATGAAATAAAAGAAGAGTAATTACTTTAAAATTTAACTTTCATATTTTTTATTATTTTGTATGTCTATAAAAATTCTCACATTATTTGGTTTTTATTTGAAAATTATAATCTTTTCATTTGTTTAAATTATTATTTTGTGTTTTTATTTTTCAATTAGCATAAAAGTTTTCAAGTTTGTGTTTACTTACAACATTGAATTATGATAGAATTTAAATTTAGATAAATACTTTGTATTTTTTATTTACAATATTAAAAATTTCTATTTTTAATATTGTAAAACAAAAAAAAAAAAATGAAATAATCTTTTCTGTAAGAAATATAAAATAGCATTCTTCAAAGAAACATTATCTCAAATATTCTTTTGAGACTATGAAAATTTTCTCATCAATAAAATTTCAAATAGTATTTCTTTAAAAAAAGAAAGTAAAAAACAAAATATTAAAAATAAATTTAAAAAAAAAGAAAAATATTAAAAAATTGGAGGAAATTTTTATTAGAAATGGAAAATTTTATCATTACTATTTATTTTGTTTTTAAATATTAGAAGCAGTTAAATGTAAAATTAGAATAATTGAAATTAAAAATTATAACAATCATTCGAAATTTAAAATTATTCAAATAAACATTGTTGCTACAGCAGTAAGTTTCATTTCCTTTTAATGCCAAAATTAATTATTATAAGTTATTAATTTAAGTTTTTTTTTTGAATTAATATGAATTAATTAATATAAGCTAAAATTCTAACTTACCCAATGATTACTGAGATACGCGGGTTCAATTTACCCATAATATTATCATTAAAAAAAAAAAAATCAATAAAAAAGATAATAGTAATTTTGTTGAATATAATTTCTCATAATAATTTTTATCCAAATTACCTGTAATATTTTAATAAAGTAATTGGTTAAAGATCATAACAATAAGTATGCTAATATTAAAATATTAAAAAATTATAGGTAATAAAATATTATTAAATTTTATTGAAATATTACTATAAAAGTATGAAAATATTGCTAAATTTTAGTTTTTATCATTTTTCATTTCATCAAAATAATAAGTAAGAATAATAATAATAATAATAATAATAATAATAATAATAATAATAATAATAATAATAATAATAAATTAGAATATGAAATAATTGTTTCTGATGATAAAAATAATATAATTGTTTCTTCTTCTTCTCGATGATAGGAAAAATAATTCTTTTCTTATGGCCTAAGAAATTAATTTCAATTAATGATAAAAGTATGCTAAAGTTAAAAAGCAAAAAAAAAAATTTTTAGAAAATTTAATAAAAACAAAATAATAACTTTTTGAAACTAAAATTTAATAAATTACAAAGTAATTTGATTTGCATTTGTAATTTTAATTAATCTGAGCAAATAACTATAGTAATAATAAGAATAAATTAAGTAAACATTGCTAATTTTTTAATATAATAATAATTTTTGAGGTTTATCTAAGAGTTTCAAATTTGAGCATAAAATATTCAAATTTTAAAATATATGAAATTCTCTGCCGATGTATTTTTTTTTTAAAAAATGTTTTATAAACTATAAAAAAAATTTTTTAAATTTTTTAAAATATATCTTTTATGATTTTTACAATGTTTCGAATTTTTCTAATTCAATAACGAATGAAAAAGTTATTGTTTCAACAGATAAACAAACAAAACCAATTGAATTAGTTAATAGTCGTTCATTTGGTTCAAATTAAATTGTAAAAATATGAAAAAAAAAATGCATCGATATTTTTAAAATATTTTAAATTTGTTTTAATACTATTAGAAAAAAAATTTGCATCATAAAATAATCGAAATTTCATTTATCACGAATAATTATCACTTATTTCTAAATATTCTGCTACTTTTATTTAATTATGAATTTTTATTTTGATCTCTAATAAAATTAAATAATTAATACTAACAAAAAAAGATATTTATTCATTAATCGATTACAAATTTAATAATTATAAAATTTCCATTTCTGGTTTTCTCGGTACTTTCATTCATATCTAATGAAATTAAAATACAATGTTAAATTTGCCAAAAACTTTTTAAATTTCAATACCAATCGAAAAACATAATATCGTTGATCATAGTTTTAAGGTGGTTTGAACTTTAACCTTTCCCATTTTGATGGCGCTAGTTGTCTTTCGAGAAATACAATGAATTAATATTGAGAATAGCATGCGCAACATGAAATTTTAAAAATTTCAACTTTTATTTTTTTTTAATTTTTGTTAAAAAAAATAACAATTTCAATCAAATTAAGAATATTGCAGAAAAAACAAATAAACAAATAAACATTCAATATATATTTGCTAATAATTGTTACAAGCAAGCAAATAGATATGAATTTTAATTAATTAAAAAAAAAAAAAAACTATCAATATCATAAAAATATTTTAATTCATTTTTAAAACAAAAAAAAGAAGGAGCAAAAAAAAAATTTTGGTGACAAAATAATGTCACAATTTTTTTTTTGATTATAAATAATTATCATTAATTATTCGTTAATAAAATTAACAAAAACAAAATCATTTCAAATATGAAAATTATTTGTTGAAAATTTGAACATATCAGGTGGTTGAAGATCATCCATTAATTTAAATGCTCGATCAAATGGAAATCTTGGATCAAATTTTGGTAGTACACCAAATAACTCATAACTAGTATCAATATTTCTAGGCTCTTTTGGCAAATGTTTTTTAATCCAATGTCCAATCATATCATTATGCCATTTCTCATAATTTCTTACAACTTTACCGCTTTTCAATTTTTGTTTTTCATTTTTTAAAATTTTATGTCTATCGGATTGTTTATGAAATTTGTCATTCATCGATTGAAATGGATTTAAATCATAGCCATTACCACTGTAACCACCTGTTGCTGCTGAAAAGACCTTCTGAAAACGTGAAATATCAAACGTTGGTAGTTTTGATATTTCGTCCTGAAACTTTTATTTCAATTAATAGAAATTTTAGAATGCTTTTTAAATTTTAATAATTAAAGTTATATAAATCATCAGAGTAATAGTTGAAAAGTTAAAATTAAAATATGAATGATAAGTGATTAGTTAAAAAGTTAAAATTAAATATAAATGATCAAGGGAAAAGTCAAAAAGTTAAAATTAAATTTGTTGAATTATTTCATTTATGAAAATACAAAAAAATGTTGCATTTTTTTTTTTGAAAAAGAAATTTTATTATAAAACAAAACTTCTTTAACTATAAATTTTTTTAAATTATCAATTCTTAGATTTAACTTATCATTATTTTAAAATTATCACTAGGCTTTTTTTTTGGAAAAAAATTGTTTTAATGACAAAAATCTAAAATTTCACATTAATTTCACATATTTTATTTGTTTGTTTTTTTAGTTGAAATTTCTTTTTTTTTTTGAAAACCAGTTTTAGAAAAAAATAATAAATGAGAACATGGGAGTTTTTTTTTTTTTTTTTTAAATTAATATAGATGATATTAGTGCAAATTTTTGTAATATTTTGACCAGAATTTTAATTGATTTGAATTTTTAAAAACGATTTTTTTTTATTTGTCATTCTAAACTTTAAAGAAATTTTTTTTCGAAGAAATTTTTTTAATTACTTCAAATTTTGCATTTAGCATTTAGAAATTTTTAATAGTAATTGGAAATTAATACTTTTGATACCAATTAAAAAGTAACATTTTTTGATGCTAATTGAAAATTAATATTTTTGATACCAATTAAAAAGTAATACTTTCTGATACTAATTGGAAATTAATATTTTTGATACCATTTTTGATACCAATTAAAAAGTAATACTTTTTGTTATTAATTGAAAATTAGTATTTTTGATACCAACTAAAAAGTAATACTTTCTGATACAAATTGGAAATTAATATTTTTGATACCATTTTTGATACCAATTAAAAAATAATACTTTGGGATACTTTTTGTTATTAATTAAAAATTAATATTTTTGATACCAACTAAAAAGTAATACTTTCTGATACTAATTGAAAATTAATACGATTACCTTAGCTTGATCAAAAATCTCGTCAGCTAATTCACGTATTACTTTATATTCCGCTTGCGCACGCTTTTGAGCATTCTCACTTTCTTTCCATAAATTTTTAATATTATTGGAATTTTGTGGAAAATTCGCTATATATTCACTGATTGGATTTTTCATTTTGCGCTAAAAAAAAAAATCCAAATTTCATTTTTTTTATTAGGAAAAACTTTCAATTAATCTAAACAAATTGATCTAAAATAAATTTTCAATTAGTTAATTTCAATTAAAATTAAAATTTTACAATCATTTATATCATTTATTATATAAAAAACTTTAAATTTCATTTATTTTAAATGCAGAAAAAAAAAGAGAAGAAAAAACAAATCAAATATTTTTCTGAAATGTAAATATAAATTAATTTAAAATGCATTTTTGAATTTAAACAAAAAAGGAAATAAATAAATAAACCATAAAAGAGAAAAAAAAAGTTTTTTTCTACTTTGTTTTCCTTCTTAAATTAAATTGATATTTTAATGTTATTTATATTTTAAACAAAAAAAAAAAAAAAAAGAAAATCAATCAAATTATTTTTCCTGTATTTTCTGATTATTAATTGATTGTTGATACTTTTTTCTCTTATAACTTTTTAAATTGTCCATTTGTTGAATTGTTTCTGTCTTCCTTGTACCATCATCAATTGTATCTGCAAATATTTTAAAATTATAATTTGTTTTTCTTTTTTTTTTTTTAATTTATTTAAAAATAATTTAAATAATATCATATAATAGTTTTGATAATAAATTAAATTTTTAGTACTCTTAATAATATCATATTTTGCAATATGTCACAAATAATTTTACAATTCTATTTTATATATTAATTACAAATATTTAAAAAAAAAATTAAATAGTTAAAGTTAAATTGATAAATTTTTTTTTTAATCTTAAATACCATATGAAAGAAAAATTAATTAAAAAAATAAATAAATAAATATTAAATATTTAAAGTTAACTTGATAATTTTTTTTTTAAAATTTTAAATACCATATGAAAGCAAAATTAATTTTTTAAATACCATATGAAAGCAAAATTCTAGGCTTCTGATCTGATCTGAAAGGTTTTTCGTAAATATATTCAAAATGTTGGCCAAAATGTTTGAATGGTTCTTTCAAATGATTTCTTGTATCTTCTTCTTCTTCTTGTTTATCTATAATGAAAAAGAAAATTTTTTGAAAATTTAAACAAAAATAAAAGAAAGAGAGAGAGAGAGAGAGAGAGAAAGAGTGAAAGAGTGAAAGAAGAGAAAGAAGAGAAATGATATTTTAATTTAAATTTCTTAAATTATTTTCTTTTTTTTTTTTAATAAATTGATAAAATTTATAAAACAAAAAACAAACCAATTTCATTCATCGTTGTTGGTAGTATCAAAAAATCCAAATAAAAGATAATAATAAAAAGAAAATATTGAAGCATCGTTGTTTGTTTCTTTTATTTTAAATCTTTGATTTATTTTAAAAATTATTGGCCTAAAAGTTTTTTCTCTCTCTGAAATTATTATTATAAATATTTGTAGTATTATAATCAAATTTTTGATAACACTTTAAGAATTTTTCAAATATTATACACTAAGTATTTCAAATTTTTTATTTTTGTTAAAATTTATCGTTTTGAAAATTATTACCAAAATAAAAAAAGGAAAAAACCTAAAAAAAAGTATTGAATTAGAAATGAATAAATCATTTGAAAATAATTATTGAACATTACCGCCTTATAGTAGAAATGAAAGAAAATTCTGAAATAATATAACAATTCGATATTAATTAAATTATAAAAATGCATCAAATATAATTGCATAAAATTTTTAACAACAAAAAAAAAAAAAAAAAGAAAAGAAATTTCATTACATATAAAATTATAGTTCTGAGGAATTTCAATAAGAGATAATAATGATATTATTATTATTTTTATTGTAATAATAGATATTTCATAAATTGACATCATATCTTTGAGGCAAAATATATGCATGGAAAATAAAAATTATTTACTTAATCATTACTTAATATTTCAATTTACTATTTATTATTTAATTATTACTTAGTATTTTAATTTACTATTAATTAATCATTACTTAATATTCTAAATTACTATTAATCTCTTGATTATTACTTAATATTTCAATTTACTATTTATTATTTAATTATTACTTTGTATTTTAACTTACCATTAATTAATTAACTTAATATTCTAATTTACTATTAATTTCTTGATTATTACTTAATATTTCAATTTACTATTTATTATTTAATTATTACTTAGTATTCTAATTTGTTGTTAATTTCTTTATTGCTACTTAATATTTCAATATACTGTAATTATTTAATTATTACTTAATATTCTGATTTACTTTTATTATTAGTAATTTCAATTTTTTCCTATTTATTTGCATTTTACTAAATATTTTTACTAAATACGTATAACGAGGAAAAGAAAGAACAGAAAGCAAAAGAAACACTAAATAATAGAATTATTATCAAAAAGAAAAAAATTGTAATTTTGTTTAAAAGATTTTAAAAAAAATAACAAAAAAATTTTATTGATGTAAATTACAATAAAAATGATAAAAATTTAATTTTAACAAATAATTTATTATCAAAATCACTGTGTTATTCTTGCTAAATGTAAACAATGAAATGAAACTTAAAAATTGTCAAATTCTGAATTACTATTACTTATTAGACCGTAGTAATTGATCATTCATGCTGAGATAAAAATGTATAATTTGTGTTAAACAGAATTTTAAATCAAAATAAAATTCATTTTACATCATAATTAATTTTAAAAATCTTTCATTACAAAATTTTATAAAAATCATTTTTTAAAATAATTACAATTAGCATAAACAACAATAATAATAATAATGACAATAGTATCAGTAATAATAATGATAGTGATAACGAGAGTGATAATAATAATAGTAATTGTTTCTTGAAATTTTAATTTTTAATAATGTATAAATCAATCAGCAAAAAAAATGAATAAGAATTATTAATTAATTATAATAAAAAGTTATAAAATCATTAATTAAAAAAAAATCAAATTTAAGAATGTTTTATTTTAGAAACGACCACTTTGCAGTTAAATAATTTATTATCATCACAAAATCATTTTAGTATTAAAATAAGAGATGGCGCTTTTGACGCGTTTGGCGCTTTTGACACTTTTCAGAATTTATATTTTATCTAATTCATTGCTTAGAAATGAAAACATAATGAATTCTTCTTTGCATCCTGTGATATTCTCCACCAATCCACTTCAAAAAATTCCCATTTTGTGAAAAGAAAATATTGAATTGTATATTTATTTGGTGTAGCATTAACAATTGATACTGAAATTAGAAATAATAGTAATTAAAAATTTTTTGAAAAAAAAATTAAACGTTTCAAAAGTTATATTTACAAATTAATAATAAATAATTTAAAGCAAATAAAGAAATTTAAAGTAATATGAACATTTTGTTTATTTTATCCATTAAAAATGTAACTTTTTTTTTTTTCTAAAATTATGAGATAATCAAATTTTAATGAATTTAATTTCATTTCTTAACTTCTTACTTCTGTTAACTTTATCTTATCTTAACAAACCCGGAATATCAGATTAGATTATTTAATCGTATTATTTCTTAATTGCTTAGAAAAATTTGGTATTCAGTGATTTTTTCGTTTTTTTAAGATAATAATAATAATAATACTTTCGAAATTATGAATTTTAATAAAAGAAAGTTTTAAAATTGTAAATTTATAATAAAAGAAATTCCTAGTTTTATACCAAAAATTTTTTTTTCTAAATTTCAAAACCTATCTATTACTGCATTCAATGAAATTTAATTGTTTTTAAATTTTAATTTAATTCAAATGTAATTTTTATATTTAGGAAAAAATTAGAAATAAATTCGGGATGTCAAAAATAAATATACCTTCTAGTAAAGAAATGATTAACATTAACCAAATATAATACCAAATTAAAAAATACACTTTATATTCCATTTGAAATTAAATTCAAATTTACGTCTTGCAGATGACTGAACAATCAACAACAAAAATCACTTCAGATATGATGATTATGACAAATGGTATAATTATTTTAAATAATTTTAGGACAAATAATGATTGATCATTATTAATAATGATTATTAGCTTTTGTTAATATCATATTTTTCTAATGATTGTTTGACAAATTTCATACGCTAATTTTTATTTCAAATATAATTATCCTTCATAATATATTTTATTTTATTTTATTTATTCTTTCAAACAACTTTTTTTTTTTCAAAAAAAAAAATTTGAAAATGAATAATTGCTATTTAATATATTTTATATATTGGAAATGCTAATATATTTTATCATATCAAATAAATCCATTTGTAATACATTATTATTTAATATAAATTATTTCACTTACAATTTATTCAATAAAAATTAAAATTCTTCTAAATATTTGTCCAAATTTGACACAATTTGCTGAAATATTTAATTTTTTTTTCTTTACAAAAGTTTTCAATCTTTCTTGTAAATATATAAAAATTATCTTTACAATATATTTATTTCCTTAATCTTCCTTATAAATATATGTAAAAACTATTTCACACTTATGATTATTTCATCCAATTAATTTATATATCACGAAATCCTTTTTTTAATATTTTAAGTAAAAAATTTTCCACGATTTAGAATTTAAAATAAAATTATCAGAATGCTAATAATAAAATATGAGAAATGATTAATGATCAAATGATATGATATAAGTAAAACATAGGTTGAAACTATCAACAATGAATACCATCATCTGAGTTAATTGTCAATTGGTAGCATTAAGCAGTATTTAAATGAGTAATTAAAAGATATTTTATTCACAATCTTTTTTTAAATATTACATTACCTGGAAGTCAATTCTTGAATTAATTGAAATGAATATTAAATTTTGAAAATAATTTGATAAAAAAAAAAACCGTCAATTGTACAATGTAAAATGAGTCAATTAATAATACAAAATGATACGAAATATATTATAAAATATACAAATAAGCCCATAAATAACAATAAATATTGTCAAAGATCTCTCAAATTAACGACAATAACAATGCTCAAAACAAAAGAGAGAGAGAGAGAGAGAGAGAGAGAGAGAGAAAGAAAGAAAGAAAGAAAGAAAGAGCAATTGATCCTACATAATTCTAGAAAAATTAAAAAGCAGAAGAAAAGAGAGAGAGAGAGAGAAAGAGAAAGAAAGAAAAAGTTAAAAATTTTTTGATTATGAAAAAAATCTAATAAAGCAATATGACGGAATGTTTAATAAAGAATTTTTTTTTGCGCTCCATATAAAATATTTCTATTTTATAAATGAAGCATAAACCACACTTCGTGTGTATTAATCATTTCTTATGTTATCTGTGCTTTTTAAACCTTTAAGGCTAATAAAAATTAAGATTGAAATTAAAATATAATTGAAAATTGAAATTAAAAAACATCCCTAAAAAAATTTAGTACTAAAATAGAATTAAGAAGCATTATTACAAAAGTATAAAAGAATTTTGCTTTACAAATTAATTACTATATTATTATACTCATATATATTTGAATCGTTTTGGATAAAAATGGCAGTGTGATAATGACTAACATTACAGCAAATTGTTAAAATAATTCAATCATTTACATATTAATTGCTAAATTTTAATCTAAATTAAACCGTATAAACAGCAAAATTCATGTCAAATTACGAAAAATAATCTGAATTCTTGTAAATAATATTTCAGTTTAGAAATTGAAAAATAAGATCACCTAATAAAGAGACTGATTCTTAACAGTTTCAAAATTAATGAACAACATTGTCCAGATTATATGGAAAATAAGTATAAAATGTATGAAATCACCCATTCAATTGAATATATCACAAAGCATAGAAAGAAAAATAAATATAAATAATCAATGATTTATAGAAAGAGATCAACCCTTGATAAAAAAAAAAAAATGATGCATAAATAATAGCAATAAATTAAAGATTAATCCTGGTGGTACCAGTTACCATATCTCTCTTATAAGCATTAAAATAATATAAAATTCTCGAAGATTTGCTCCAATTTGCCTCAGCAAAAATCTATTATCATAAATATGATTGAAGCACTTGCATACCTGCAAAAAATGATGATAATTTTTGTACTTTTTTTTTAAAAAATAGTTTTTATAGTTTTTTCTCAAAATAAATTCGATCTACTAATTCTTATAATAACATTTTAAAAAAATAGTAGTAGTAATGAAAAAAAAAAAAAAAAAAAAAAAACCTAAAAGATGAAGAATGACAGTCATTAACTTGACTTGAAAATCAAAATTCTCTCTAAAATATTTCAATGAATACTACAAATAATATAATTAAGAAACTAATAAAGCATACAGTAATTGATATTAGATTTGTCAGAGTTATTT